CGAAAATTTATTCGGGGTTTAGAGGGTGTTACACGCTGGGCCAAGGTTCCCCCATTGGGCTGACCAGAACTAGCCCAATAAAGGAACTGTCAGGTTCTACGTGCGTAGTGGGGCCCCGTACGTGGTTCCCTTCCTGGTGGTGCTCTGCGAAGAATGAGGAGGGACGAAGACGCGGTCTTTCCGGAGTTTAGAGGATTCGATAACGGTCAGAATTGACAGAATCTGCCCTACGGGGAGGGTGCTCGAGCTGGAGTTCCCTTGGCCGGGGACGCTATGTGTCGCGGACAATGACGGGCATCGTGGCTAAAGTCTATGGTCGAGCATGTAGGCTGTGATCCGCGGGTGCGCATTCCTCGAGGAGTTTGCTTGGATCGGGCCTTTATCTGCGCTTTGGGCCAGGGTGGGCCTAGTCCAGAACAGTAATGGATTTGAATTCTTGATTGCAATACAATAGTTTCTCTTCAATTTGATCGTTCAATATGTTTAACGCTTTCCTGATCGGACCAATTAGGACTGATTTATGATTAACAATTAGGGCTGGACCGCCATTGTTAAGGTTTGTGTATGATTAAACTATATTAGATATCACGTAGGACTAGGGATACCATATAGTCACCGGATTAATCTTGATAAAATAAAAGGCTCGGTGTCATCATAATTTTCTAAGGACTTAGGTATTAGGATGAATGGCCAAAGGTTTTCCCACTAAGGACTTGGGAGAAAACAGCCTACAGATCCGGTAGTTGAAGGTTATGAACGTGTTAAAGAAATCAAGATTCAAGTTCATTACATGGAAAATCACACACTTACCTCTAGCATATTACTCATACTTGTGAAAAAGTCATAATTTACATTCTGCTTAATATTTCAACGCAGTCCTTGAGATCTACATTCAGAGAATTTCTCCATTATTACTGCATAGGAAAAATAGTACACTTGCTATTTTTCCGAGAAGGCGCTTATGATGTTTTTGATCTCGTCAATGACTGTTAAATTCCGGTTGCAAAAAACGCAACAGAAGCACAAAGAAATGCTGAATGTGAAACGAGGAAGAAGAATCAAAATGCATTGTTCTATATCCATCAGTGTGTGGATACAAAGGTGTTTGAGAAGATTGTCGATGCGATGATGACGAAGCCGACATGGGATGCACTTGTGCGGTGCTATGGTGGTGACACATCAGTGAAGAAAGTAAAGTTGTAGTCCCCTACGCAAGCAATACGAGAATATCAGCATGAAGGATAGTGAAAGGTGTCTGATTATATCTCCAGAGTGATTGTGGTCACGAATGAGATGAAGTCTTGTGGAGAAACACTCTTTGAACAAGTAATCATTGAAAAGGTACTAAGATCTCTTACTCCTCAATTTAATTACATAGTTGTAGCCATAGAACATTCGAAAGAAACTAGCCCCATGAGAATTGAAGTACTTCATTGTGGTTTAGAGGCAAAAGAATTGTGTCTGACTGAAAAAAAACTCTGAAAGGGAAATTGAAACTCTGAAGACACGTGGAAGTGAATCAGAAAACAGAAGCCTACGTAATAGGATAAGTGTTGAGTCCTAGAGAAGTAAATGTTATCGACGATTATTGATGTATGTAGTATATACGTCTATTTCATTCATGTAATAAAGGTTCGCAAATTAGTATTCTCTATAGAACTCGAGTATTCAAGTCACATGAACAAAAGAGTTTGTGAGAAACGTGTATGAATTCACTTTCATTTTCTAATTCTTTAATCCAAACATTTTATTTCATTACTTCTATTGTTTTCCTTTTTTTATTTTACTTGAAACAATTATGCACTCTTCTTATTAGAATATCTATCCAACTTCTCCACATTCAAACACTAAACCAAGTACAAACTCATTTCATCAAATTGATTTGCACAAATTATTCTTAGAATTTTTTTCGAGTTTTATATCTTAAGTGAATAAAACTTATGATTTTTTATTTACTAAAAACACCAATAAACACCCTCTCACTAAACACAACACCTTGACTACACTATGACATTTCTTCTAGTGAGACATGTATATACTAGGGTCCTTCCCATTGTCCCCAGGAAAGTTAAAATTTCTCATTGTCATGTGGATTGAAGTTGAACCCTTAATAAAAATCATGACCGCTAACGTCCATAAGTTCTTCAAGAATGTCTTAGCCCGGTACAAGATCCCACGGTCTGTGGTCACTAACAAAGACATTCAATTCACTGACAAGATCTTGAGAAAATGATTCAAAGGTTTTGAGGTTAAGCACCACTTCACATCAACGTAACACCCTCAATGACCAAGAAGAGGTTGGCAACATAATCATGCTTAGGGGTGACAATTAAATCCATTAAGCCAAAATCCATCCAATCCATCCACCAAAAGTCCATCCAATACATCTACCACATAAAAAGTAAGTTAATGGATTAGATAAAATTCATCCATTTATATACATGGATTGATCCAATCCATCCAACATATTTAAATTATCCAATGGATTATTTTGATCATATACTTTAAATCCATTAAATCATTTTTATAAAAAAAATTATATTTTCTTACGAAAATACAGTAATCGAGTTTTTTTGTGGAAATACACAACATCGAGTTTTTATTTATGAAAATACAGTAAATTGAGTTTTTGGCAAAAATACAGTAAATCGAGTTTTCTACAGAAAATAAGTAAATCGATATTTTTTACATGAATACAGAAAATTGAGTTTTTTTACGGAATACAGTAAATCGAGAATTTTTACTAAATAGAGTAAATTAAGTTTTTTTGCAAAAATACAATAAATCGAGTTTTTGCCAGAAATACATAAAATCGAGTTTTTTCACGGAAATACAGTAAATCAATATTTTTACAAAAATACAGTAAATCGAGTTTTTGTTGAAAATAAAGTAAATCGAGTTTTTAGCAGAAATACAATAAATTGAGTTTTTTTACAGAAATGCAGAAAATCAAGTTTTGTAATGAAATACAGTAAATCGAGATTTTTATGGAAATTATGTAAACCGAGTTCTTGCGAAAATACAATAAATTGAGTTTTTTTTACGAAAATACTGTCAAACGAGTTTTTGTGAAAATATAGTAAATCAAGATTTTTACGGAAATTATGTAAATCAAGTTTTTGTGAAAATACAGTAAATCTAGTTTTTTTTACAACAATACAATAAATCAGGTTTTATATGGAAATACAATAAATCGAGTTTTTTTTTGCAGAAAATACAGTAAATCTAGTTTTTTTTTACACAAAAACAGTAAATCAATATTTTTTTAACCTAAATACAGTATATCGAGTTTTTAGGAAAATACAGTAAATCGAGTTTTTTTAACGAAAATATAGTAATTCGAGTTTTTTGCGAAAATACATTAAATCGAGTTTTTTGTACGGAAATACATTAAAACGAGTTTTTCGCGAAAATACAATAAATCAAGTTTTATGTCAAATACAATAAATCGTGTTTTTTTTATAGAAATACAGTGAATCTAGATTTTTGTCAAAACCAGTAAATTGAGTATTTTTTACGGAAATATTGTAAATTGAGTTTTTTTGCGAAAATATAGTAAATCGAGTTTTTTTACGGAAATTCAATAAATCAAGTTTTTGTCAGAAATATAGAAAATCGACTTTTTATTAGAAATACAAAAAATTGATTTTTATGTAAATACAGAATATCAATTTTTTTTCAAAAAAAAATTAAATAAATAAATGAATGTATTTAAATTAACTTTTTGGATGAATGAATATCTATCCATTAAAATACTGTTAACAAATTGATTCGATGAATTTTTATCTTTAATGGATGGATTGGATTGAATATTTTTAAAAAGTTGTAGTAGATTGTTAATGGGCTAATGAGTTATTCTGATCTATCTATTAACAATCTAATTAATATCCATCTAATTCATTCATTTTCCCACCCGTGATCGAAAGACAATTGGGCAGAAGAGCTTTTACACTTCCCATAGACATACCTAGTTATATCATTATTTGATAACTAAGCTAGGACTTACGGACAATATTAGCATGCGTTTAATTTATATCATATATACGGAACAATACTGTTCAATGTCAATAAATGATAGTTATAATATTTTTTAAAATACTTGTTTTTTTACTTTCACCAAGTCTAAAATAACATTTGTGAATGGTTAAGAGTGTAGCTGAACAGAAATATCTCACTGGCCAGTATTAACTGTTTTGTGCCTATTCTTGTCAATTAGTTTTTTAAGCAAGCCAGAGCTAATGAGCTTCCCACCCATTATTTGAATTGAACATATCTTATTCAACAATCATTGGGCTTCTGATTTAGATCATGTTTATCAAATGTTGATATACGTTGTGAATTGACAGATTCTTTGTCTGAATATACTAGTGAGGCAAGAGATGTAATGAACCTCAAACAGCAAAATAACTATCAATATAGACATGAAAATGTAATATACAATTCCCCACCAATCAATGATTACAATAATTGAATGGTTAGCTCTCTTTACATCATAGCTAATACTTTCATGATCTACCAAAATGTTGGTGAAGAAAACGTCGAAAGAAAAATGAGAAAATTGATAAAACAGTGAGCCAATAAAAAATGGCACAACATCAACAACCGCTGCTAAATCCTAGTACTATATTCACACACAAAATTCTAATCAGTTTACTACATGATAAACTTCAGCAAGTTAAACCAGTTACACCAACATTGTTTTAATCATGTACATTAACTAAACATAAATGCAAATCGAAAGGGAATAACTCCATAACGCAGCGTTTAACTTATCAGAATAAGAAAAGGATTGTAATGTTATGTCTTAAACTTCCAATATTTAAAACCATGCTCCAAACAAGAAGCGACCATAACACGTGAATAGCTACATAACAACTTCTGAACCAGAGAATTCAAACAACAATGACAAATCCGGAACTTTTAGTTACTATTTTTTCCTTCATCAACGAAAAGACTGATATAATATAATATGCAGGATACAATGTTATTCAAAAGTTAAACTATCTCCTTTTTCCATTGTGTGAATATTTTCTAGTCGGGTATGATAATCGTGATTTGATGCTAGCCCTTGACAGCTGTCCCCTCTCCCGCTCATCATTGTTCTGTGGCGCGTCATCTTTGAATCTATGATGATCAGGATATCTGCCCCTATCTTCGCGATCAGGGACATGGTCTAGAGATCGTGCACGTTCACGGTCTATATCACTATCCTGAGATCGTGCACGACTAATTTCTGTATCATCAAGGTTCCCTATTTCTTCATGGTCATACTCTGGATCATTTTCACTAGGCACATATCTGTCAAATTCAGGAACTCTATCATCCTTGAACGTTCTTTCAGAAGTACCGGGCAAATCCATCTCCGATACTCTATCTTTTTCTCGCCTAGCATTAGGCAAATCACCTCTATCACGATTCACCTCATCGTACCGATGGTCAGATGCAGCTTCCTCCCCATAACTCGCCCCTGCAACCTTGCCTCCACCATGTTGATCACCACCCAATCTTCCCGTATCTGGAACCGGCTGCATTCCAATACCTGACGGCGGAATCATCCCCGTACCATGCCTAGGAATCCCTCTTCCATAGAAGGAATAATTACCATAAGGTGCTAGACCACGCAAACCAACACCAGGTTGTGAAGGAAAAATCCCGGGGAACAGAGGTATTGGGCCACCGGGAAAGCCTGCATAACCACCCATTTTACTCATGGCACCCATCCGAGGACGCGGCAACATTCGTGGGGCAGCACCACCCATTCTACCCATGGAACCACCCGTTCCACCTCCCCGAATCCACACCGGATTACCATATCCTCTATTCCCCACCCCAAGATTGTTCCCTCTCCCCCAATTACATCTTCCATAACCTCTATTAACCCCATCTCCACCTTTTTTGATACCATCACCAGGCTTAGTAGCCTCAACCTCATCAGGCCCCTTCTTTCCCTGATTATCCCCATCTCCACCTTGGTTGATAGTAGCCTCAACCTCATTAGGCTCCTTCTTTCCACCATTATCCACATCAGGTTGATTCGTACCAAGAAAAGGCGTCCGAGACGAAGAAACAATACACGGCCTACCGTTAAACTTATGTCCAACCAACCCTTTCTTACAAACAGCTGCAGCTAAAGGATCATAAAACTCAACCTGACAATACCCTTTGGATTTTCCACAATCTTCATGAAGAAAAATTCTTAAATCCCTAACTTTTCCATACTTACAAAGCTCGTATTCGAGATCAGCGTCAGTAGTCCACCAGTGCAATCCACCCAAGAAAAACAAACTATTTCCTCCTCGCACAAAATCAATTGGTTGCTTTTGCCCAGTTCCACTTGTACCTGGTAAAGAAACCCCACCTGCATTTTGAACTGACAGAAACGGCCGCGGTCGTGGTGGTGGGGGTGACGGTGGCGGATTCTTACGTTCAACTTCTTTGTTTTTAACTCCTGAAGCCTTATTCATTGGCAAAGGTTGAAGGAAACCCGGACCAATATCCATATTACCGTAATGTTCATTGTAATCTTCGTCAGCTACGGCGGGTGTAACTTTCTTGCCGTTGGACTGATCATCGGGATCGGTGGTTTCACCGTGCTTTCTTCCTTTGCCTTCGTCCATTCTTGGGTTTTTTCTTTCTTCAAATTACGGTTTAAAAAACGGATTCAAAGAAAATGGCGCGTAATGAAAAGAGAGAGAGAAATAAAGTGGCAATTCTTAATTTGTCTAATTTTATATTTTATGGTCTAGTCAATTCTAAACAACAAATTGTGTAGTCCTCCCTCAATGTAATATTATTTTTTTTTAATCAATTTTCTCAAATTAATATTGTATGCGCTATTCTTAAATTATTAAATTTTATTGTATATTTATGACAACTAATAAGATACATGTGTGTTTATATGTATAAATTATTTTTATTATATATATATATATATATATATATATATATATATATATATATATATATATATATATATATATATATATATATATATATATATATATATATATATATATATATATATATATATATATATAAAATAAAATATTTAATTGTACCATATTTAACTTCACTAATATTTCACAATTCAACTAATTAATTAATAATGAGACTCATATAGCCATATCAAAGGTGTAGTGAATTTTAGTCATATCTTAATAAAAAAGTAATAACCAGATAAAAAGGATAAGTATAAATTCAACATTGTCATAGGTTTTGAGAATGTTAATGTAGTATGAACTTGACAACATTTTGAATTAGTGTACAGTTTAATTTGGACAAGTACTTCATATAAGCATTACTTTTGTCACGCAAGTTAGACAGTACAATCCTCCAATTTTCTAAGAAAAAGAGCAGTAAGCACACATCATGATGTTGAACTTTGTGTATGCCTGAGTTATTAGAAAAATTTCAGCAAATATTTCAACATCACATGATAGTGTTTTATGCATTAAAATACACAGAAAATTATGAAGTAGTAGTTATAATGGAAACATATGTAAAGTGTTACTTATGAAATATTGTGAAATACTTCTTTGAAAACTACATTAGTTGTAGTTTTTAAACAATGTTTATCCTTGTTGTGAATCAATATTTTGAAATCATCTTTGTTTTTCACTCTAGACATTGCGACATAAAGCTGTCCATGACTAAAAACATCTTTCGGCAAGTATAGTCCAACAAAGTCTAATGATTGACCTTGTAATTTATTAATAGTCATAACAAATGAAACAACAATGAGAAATTGTCTCCTAACCAATTTGAATGGTCAAGGTGATTGTGAAAGAGACATGGACATCCGCGAAATGTAAATGATATTTCCAATATTTTTTCCGAAAATAATTTGTGCCTTGATCACGTGATTTGCAAACCTGGTGACAGTAAGTCTTGTACCATTGCACAATCCTTCAGATTGATCTAAATTACGCAACAACATAATAGTTGTGCCAATTTTCAACCTGATGGAATTATTTGGCAACCCTGATGTTATAAGTGAATTCAAGAATTCAGAAGTTATGTGTTCAAATACATCAAAGTCAGTAGATTCAGACCTGTCGATTGAATCACTACTTATATATTCCTTTTCTTCTCCTTCAATAGAAAATCAATAATTAGTATGACATTCCAAAAATATACAAATAAATCAATAATTGATTTAATATATTAATAGTGAAACTAACTACCCAAAATCAGTTTTATGATATAATCATTAATATCATCAACCACTTTAATAGATGAAGTCAATATTGCTCTACTTTGAAGATAGCTTGATTCTTTGTAGTTATCAATTATATCTGGATATATACATGATACAATTGCTTCGAGAAGGTCCGTAAAATTGGATATCAAAAACTCATATGGAATGGTATGTTAGCATAACCATCATTTGACTCTTAGATGGTTCTGATCTTAACTGATCAGACTTAGACCGTCACGACTGGCTCCGAGCAGAATTTGAGTGAGATGGGGGGGGGGGAGGGTACCTGCAAGACACTTTGATGCTAAAATGAGTGACAGAATGAGCAGGCAAAAAGTGTATGTATGCGTAAGAGATGAATACCTGACCCTCTAGGAACAAAGGGTATTTATAGCCCCCAGCGCGGAGCCAAGGTCCCCTCATTGGGCCGACCAGAATTGGCCCAATAAAGGAACTGTCAGGTTCTACGTGTGTAGTGGGAACCCGCACGTGGCCCCCTTCCTGGTGATGCTCTGTGAGAAATGAGGAGGGACGAAGACGCGGTCTTTCCGGAGTTTAGATAATTTGGTAACGGTCAAAATCTGCCCTACGAGGAGGGTGCTCGAGCTGGGCTCGAGCTGGAGTTCCCGTGGTCGAAGATACCATGTGTCGCGGGCAACGGCGGGCACGACTGCAGTCTGTGGTCGGGCGCGCTGGCGGGAATCCGCGGACGCGCGTTCCTCGAGGAGCTGCTTGGATTGGGCCTTTGTTCTTGCTTTTGGGCCAGGGCGGGCCCAATCCAGAATAGGAGCCCCCCAAGTCGTGGCTCCTAGAGCAGGAGTTATGACTTGACTTCAGCTCGCCTTTGCCACAGGGTCTGATGCCCGACCCAAGATATTTGCTTCCTTGTGATTGCTCGAGAAGTTTCTCATGAGTTGCGTTCGTAGTGTAATCCTCGTCGATGCGTGCTCGGGGGGATTCCTCGCGGGCTGTGTTTGTTGGGTACACGAGGCAACCCTTGGGAACCGTGACGCCATCCTAGCGACAGTAGGGCCATCGTTGCCTAGGGGAGTAGACGTCGAGGAGGGGAAGTTCGTGGTTCCCCGGGGCGACGTTTCGTATTCCACGTCATCCCTATAAATAGGATCCTTGGGTCCCATAATTTTGTTTTTCCTCTTCGCGCTTCTCCTTCTTCCTCTGCCTTTGCCGCCGCTGTTCTTCTACAACTTCGAAAGATTACCGCACCTTCCTCCGTCGATTTCTTTTACCGCTGCCGTACATTCTTCTTTACTTCCAAGTAAGTGTTTATCCCTCATATTTTTCTTTGTTGTAGGTAGTTTTACCGTTATTTGGATGTTAGAAACCCATATCTGGGATTAGTGCCCGGTACATTCATGTTTGTGCCCGGTAAATTCATAGCTTTAGGTATGTGACTCGCGATGCTTCCCGGGACCTTCATGGTTTTGGGCGCATAATCTATGATACTGCCCGATAAACCTATAGTTCTAGGCATAGGATTCATGATATTACTCGTCACATTCATAGTTTAGGTCGGCGCACCCATGAGCTGGCCGGGATGTTGACCCATTAGGAAGTATGTAAGACAACTCGTCGTGGCACCTTAGCGTCGGGGAGGCGAAACCAGGATCTTGTTCGAGTCCTCAAGTTTTATCGCGCGCGAAGCGTGTCTTGGCTTGTCGTGCACTACTTCCCGTCAGTTATGGCGAGCATATGGATTTGCTCTCGAATTTCACCGGTTTCCTGTGCTTTGCAGGTAAATGGATGACGAACCGGAGTCTTCGAGGCGTAATGAGGTCGAGGACAAAAGTGCCAAGGAGAATGTAACTCTAGTTGATACCGTCGATGATCCTTCGTTGGATTGGGTGGGTGCCGAGCCTCTAGGGATTTCCTCGGCGTATTATCGGCGTAGTCGGCGCGCATACACTGTCGTCGAACATGGCGGTAGTCAGCCGGGTTTCCACAAGAATTTTGTTGTGACGAGGCTGTCCCTCGATGCATGAATCTGCTCGGTGTTCTCCGAGTATGGGTTTCCAATGTATGAAATTGCGTTCAAGGATCTCGGCCTTAAGCTCCAATCGCGTTCCCTGATTTCTACTGGGATGACGGCTTCGGTGCCGTATGTTAGTCGAAATGGGGTTTCGCCCGTCGTTGAATGGGGCGTGGTGCGATACACCCACAAAACACTGTGCAGCTCCTCGACCCAGCCTCTTTTAGCTTCGCCGAGCCAGCGTTTGAGCCCTCGGATGATGACTCTGTTAGCGGCCTCGGCTTGCCCGTTGGTTTGAGGGTGTTCGACCGAGGTAAAGTGTTGTTTGGTTCCCAGTTTGGTGACGAAGTTTTGGAATCCTTGGTCGGTGAATTGGGTGTCGTTGTCGGTGACTAGTGCTCTCGGGATCCCGAATCTGGCGAGGATGTTTCTTTTGTAGAAACGGAGGATGTTGTGCAAGGTGATCTTTGCGAGAGCCTCGACCTCTATCCATTTCGTGAAGTAATCCACGGCCACAATGAGGAACTTGTTTTGGTAAGTACCTTGCACGAAAGGTCCGAGGATATCCATCCCCCACCATGCAAACGGCCACGGGGATGACAGTATGCTCAGCTCGTGAGGGGGAGCGAGGTGCATGTCGCCGTGCCTTTGGCACTTGTCACACTTCCTGACGTGTTCCTTGGTGTTCTGCTGCATCGTCGGCCAATAGTACCCCGCTCGCAGGGCTTTCCTCGCCAGGGACTTGCCACCCATGTGCTGGGCGTTAATCCCTTCGTGTATCTCCCGTAATACCTCGGGGAATATGGATTCGTTGATGCATTTCATGAGGGGAATCGAGAATCCCCTGTGGTATAGTTTATGTTCGAGCACTATGTAGGAGCATGCTCGTCGTTTCGTGATGGTCGCTTCTGTCTGGTCCGAAGAGAGTTTGCCCTTTGTCAGAAAATTATACACCGGGGTCATCCAGCATGAGGCGTCTCCGATGGCGTGCACCTCGACTGGGGTTGAGGACCTCTCGATGCTCGGGCGTGACAGGGATTCTTGTATGACGGATTTGTTTCCGCCCTTCTTTCTTGTGCTTGCGAGCTTGGACAATATTTCTGCCCTTGTGTTTCGCTCGCGCGGAACGTGTGATATTTCTGCTCGATCGAACTTTTTCATGTGTCTTTTGACTAAGTTTAAGTATTCGACGAGACTGTCGTTTTTAGCTTGGTAACTCCCTTGGACTTGGGAAGCAACGAGTTGTGAGTCCGTGAAGATTTATATCTCGCGGGCTCCTAGGTCCTCGGCTAGCCTTAGTCCTGCGAGCAGGGCCTCGTATTCTGCTTGGTTGTTCGAAGTCGGGAAGGAGAGGGTTAACGAGTGCTCGATCACTACGCCCTCCTCATTTTCTAGGAGGATCCCCGCGCCGCTTTCTGACGAATTGGAAGCTC